AAACTCATTTTATTGATTGATAAAGGATTTTTGATTGCCTTTTTTTTCAACATTAAGAACAAACTAGAAGGAATCCACTCGTTTTTATCAGAAAGAAATTTTTAGTTCATTTTTTTTTGTTTTTTTTTCAATGTAGTTTGATGGTAATTTTAGGGGAGTTTTTTTTGTATTTTTAATGCTATGCAATTTGTTTCCAATGGAACATTTGTCATTGTTTAAGTATTGAAAGTATGTGTAATCTAGTAAATATGATTATGTAGTATACTTTAAATCATTCATCGATATATTGATTTCTAATCTCTTATAATTCTTGAAAAATTGATCAATTACCCTAACTACTATTATGCTTGGATAATCTTTTAATACTGATCAATCTGGTTACTATTAGTCTAAGTGATATGGTACCGAATACATTAAGTTTAAATGTTATATGATTGAAATCTGTCTTTAGTAAATCTTATTTAATGTAGATGCTATGCGCTAATTAGTATTCATCAAAAAGTCATAATTGCAATCTCTAAGAAACTGGTACATTCTATAGGATGCAGGTACATCTAACTGGTGAATGAAGAAACGATTGTCTTCGATTTTATTGTTAGTTATAATTTAAATGTGTAAATGATCATTATTGGATTTTTTTTAGAATGGTGACTATAAAAGTATCTATTACAGTTTATTCCCAAATAACTTGAAATTGATCAGTCAAGTTTTTAACATATAGTTAGTAGTTTATAATGTTGATTGGTATATTAAAAAATGAAATACAATGGATCATTAGACTAGCTTTATTCAATTCTGGTAATGACTGTTCCTTCTCTAACATTAAATATTGAAGTTCTGAAAGTTAACGACAAACTCGCCTAATTAGACTGTATATGTAATGAGCTTCAATCTTCTGGTTACCTTGAATAACAATCAAGAAATAATTGAAATGCGTTTCTCGCCGTGTAAAATTCAAAATAGAACTAAAGGAATTGTCTACATCAACGCCTAGAATCATAATCAAAAGTAAAACAGTTGACCGTGTCAACTACTCCACTCATCTTGAATATCAAGTTAACCGAAGTGATTAAGTATCAGTAGTAATTTAGAAGAAGCTTCAAAAAACCCACTTGTGTTTGATTAACTTAAGTCAATTATGACCTTCAAAATTTGTTGATTCTTTAATCAATAGACAAGTGTAGTATTAAACAGTTCGAGTTCGATCTAATCTTATTTACCACTGTGAATGAAACATGGTCTTCCATAATACAACATATTCGTGAGTTGTTAGTATTTGATGTCAGATGCTTTCGAAGTAATGCTCATGTATGTTGGGATGATCGAGTGAGTAATGGTGAGGTTAGAAACAGGTGCTGTGTAGAATGGTGAATCGTTTGATGAGTTAGTGAATGTCGATAATGTGAGGTTGTTGAAACATATGTTACATATGTGTAGTTGCCAACCATCTCGATATGTGATGTAATGTTGAGTTGTAGTGAACTGGTGGATAGTTGTTAGTGGTCGAACCAAGCTGTACTATCGATTTACAAATTGATTGAGAGTTGTGTTTGACCTAATCTATGTAGTTGTAATAAATTGGATTATAGTTAGTACTAGTTTCAAGGTTTTGTGAATTATTGGCAATCCCACAGATATATCTACTCGTTGTATAGTCTTATTGTCCTTCTTATTTCAAGAATTTTTATATTCTATTTTCAATCTTATTTTACATACCATATTTTTAGTTCTTCTTATACTGTTGTGGGTACTTGTTGTCATGTTGTATTATGTCAATCAGTCTTACATAAATCTGAATATTTTCTCTTTTTTCTTATTTATCATTTACGATAAGCATAACTTACAAACTTCTTTTTAGTGTTTTTTACATTCGCTTTCCGATACAATGGGCTATTTGATAGTATATGACTCTTTTTGTATGATCTAAGCAAGTAACTTATTGAAGAACAGTTGATCAAAATTTGTTTTAAAAAAGTTTCTACAGTATTTAAAATGGTACTGATAATTGATAAGAGGTATTATGGTATATACTACTAATGTCGACAGATATAAGTAGTATGTATCATCAATCGAAAGTGAAATGCCTGATGGCTCAAGGTCAAAAAGATTGAAGAAAAAAGAACGAGAACAAAGAATAATTGGTATGGAAACAAAGAAACAATCAAGCCTGAGATAATTGATTAGCATTTTATAAAGGAAGTATATACTATATAGTTCACAAATTTTACTGTAATTTTATGTTCAAATTCATTTGCTTATATTTATTTGTGTTCTCATTCACTTCAGTATCTGTTGTCTAGCGCTTATTATCTTTATATGTATATCATTTGTGATTAATTTATCCACATATCCGAATTTAACTTGGAAACACATTAGTAGCATAGATACTAAACTATCAATAATTAATTGCATAAAATTTAAAAAAATTTTCTTTTTCATCTAATACATAGTTTAAGAAGTATTCTGAAATATCAATTTCTATCTAATTTCATTTAGGTAACTGGTTAGTATTACTTCTTCACATATTTAAAATGTAATTTGAGCCTTAAACCCCCCCCTCATTAGTTTGTGCCTGTTATATGATAAAGTTAAATGGTAATCCTATTTTAGATCAATATTTTTTTACCAGAAGGGGTTTTGTGGACCGGTAGGTTCCGAGTTCGAATCCCACGGGGTCGGGATCATGAATGCGCACTGCTGAGGAGTCTCATAGTAGGATGAAACGACCGTCCAGTGCTTCCAGGTTTTCCATAGTGGTCAAACTTCAATTGACTCTTGATTTTAATATTCTTTTATCAATTCACTATGACCTTCGTTGAATATGATTTATTCGAATGTTTATTCTGAATGATATTTATATCCTTTGTATCGATTCAGATGAACTACATTCAGTATGTTCTTACAGTAATTGTATATAAATTTTTTGTTACACGTAAGATTCTTAGGTATGTATAAAAATCAGTATGTACATGATGATGACATATTAGAGATGCTTGTTTTGATAAAGAGTTAGAAATTCTTCTTTTTGACTAGTCTTCATGTTTTCCTTTAACATTGTTGGGATTACAGACATTCCTGTTTTTTTTTTAAATATAAGTAACATGACTGTGGAAATAAAGGAAGCGAAACATTTACACAACAAACTATTGGTAAATTAATCATAATGCTATCAATGAAATGAAGCGAATGAATAGTTTGCCAAATGAATGAACTGATTTACTAATGTTATTAGTGGTGGGAATTATAAGGTAAAAGTTTTAGGCAGGAATGATTAGTAGTTAGGAATGGAATTCGTGGAGTGAGTTTTGTTCTCTTTGAGATTTATTAACTCAATGTACTTGAATTCCAGAGTTGATATTCACTTTGGAATTTGCATCTTCAATTGTTCGCTTCTAACGTTATCACGTTATCTAACTAACTAGTAATTCAGTATAGCTCCTGGTTTTTTTTTCAATGAAGTTTTAGTTCTAGGACGAATTCCAACTCTGAAATACGGGTATAACCAGCTAATGAGTTCCGAAAAAGGACAAAATGCGCGTCCTGCATTCTGTTACTCAACACTATTGATCTGTGTTTATAAATGCTTGTTACCTAATGGTAAAATCAAGACAATCTACACAGGATGGATATATGTCAAAATAAGACTAATCATCAACAGTTATCAACATCAACAGTGGAAAGACTCAAACGATCTTTGTATATAAATGAAAATAGGTGAATGTTGCATCAATAAACAAAGTTATCAAATACAGTGAAATGTATTGAATTACCAAGTGTTTAAGTCTATAAAAATGAAGTTGAGTTAAAAAATTATCAGAAGATTTCAAGTTTTGAATATCATAATCAGTAAATAAATAAATAGTCACATTGTACTTAAACGTCCCCCGCACTGTTTACTGGAAACTCGTGAAATGATAATAATCTGTATACTGCATTAGAAATGATCTTTGAGAAGACTATAATGTCGATAAAGAATCAATTCTTTGATAGCTATCTGAGATAGTTTTAATGATGGAAGTGCAAATGAGACAAATCTACATCATACATCAATTGAAATATGATATTTCTCAATTTTTCTCAAACACCTCTATGGTGTGTGCTGTTTATATGGGCAAATATAAGTAGTATATATTAGGAGTTGGATTCTTACCTGCAGCAGAAAAAAATTGAGAACAGAAGAAAAAAAACGAAAAAAGTCAAATTAGCAACTGGAGTTTAAGAATGATGAAGCTCGGAAGAGACTATTCAAGGAAGTTGTACCCCAAATGCCCTGGTACGACCGAGAGTGTAGAGTGTCGGCTCTCCCTCTTGAAATGCTGGCACACGGTCATGCGTATATAGCCTCTGCCAGGGAAGTCCTACTCATCGCCTTCTCATGGCGGGGGTGTTGTTTACGAAATTGAGAGGACGAAAAGAGAATGTCCGGCGCTTTAACCAAGTTGGTGCACATGGAGAGTTCACCTCTAAGGGAGTTGGAGAACCCTGATTCCAAACCAATGGTGAACATGTGTTCCAGTATCCTGAGGGAACAAATAGCATATGAACCAGTCGTTGGTCACCGGCTACCATGGGACTGCATCTCCTGACGTTGCTACACTACCTTGTGAGTCAGACTTCTAGGTCGAAGGTTCCGGGTGTGGCCTCCTAAGAAAACCACCTGTTTCGGTTTGGGCACCCGTACAGTATCACAGCCCTCACACATATCAAATGAGACTTCTGTGGCACATATGTAACTGGTGCCCCCTTGTGCCAGTATTTATGTGTTCGAATAAATAAAAAACAAATTCAATGTATTGCTTACATATTTTACAAATGTAGTGTGTAATTTTGTACAATGCAGTCGATTGGCTTACTCTAATCATGTGTTTGTTCACTGGTTAATTGTTGTAATAAATTGGATTTCTCAGTTAAATTCCACAATATTCATAATTTTTATGATATAGCTTTATTTATCTAAAGCGTATTTACGTGATATTACTTTTTGTGAATATATTCATCAGTTCAGAGAAGTAGCAGTTTAGATACAAAACATCAAACCAATGAATCAGTTGACGAAGAAGATGAAAATGATCGAATTGAATCTGAAAAATCTGGAAAATCCGAAAAGAAACGTGCATTTATTCGTGATGAACATGGAGTTTGTAGACCTGGTGAATTAGATGAAGATACAAATATGAGTAAAAATCATGAATCACGATCGTCTGTTGTAGATCGTACTGCTGCAGAACGAATTTCATATCGTTTGGTTCAACAGCGTAGTTTAGATGTAAGTTAAATAACAAGATTGACTGTCTCATTATGAGGTACCTATCAATGTTATTATCGTAATAGAATAGATTAATTCTGTCATAACTTGTGACCGCCGATTAAAGAGCAGTGGCTTATCGATCGGATCGATGACGTATAAAACATGTGTGAGCAGCCTAGAGTCTTGATTGACCCTGCTTCCTGCCTAGCCCAGCCAGTTAAGTCCAGAACACAGGTCTCAGCCTCTGCGATATGAATCCTTATATTTCAAACATACTGAGTTTATATACCAATCAAACAGACCACAACGTATCAATAAAATATGAAACAACATTTGTACAAGAATTAGCCAGATATGGTTGTGAATGGGGGAGGTAGTAATTAATATACCGGGTATAACTCAAAAATGGTAAAACATATAATAATAGTTTATGAGTGAAAATAAAGCTTATAAAAAGAGGAACATGAATATGAATAGTTTCGTTATTTAACAATTATACGATAAAGTTATACGTTTAGTATTGGTCCATAAAAGGATCGTAAAATTACCATTCATTATGTTTCACGGGTCCTAACAAATTCAGAGGCATAAAGGGTGCTCTTTTCTAAACAACACCTTAGTTATTTTCCTTGAAAAAGCTTGGACCAGATTGCCAGGCGAAACGTTGGATTTACTTAAAATTCATTCGCTGAGATTTTACAAATATATTCTTCTTTTTAACACCTTAGTTAGTTATCAAAATCGGAAAGCGAAAACATTTTAATGTCTGATTCTTCAATATCATTGACTAAGGTGACATAAATCTCTGCGGAATCGCTTTCCGAATTTTCTCTACATTGTTGAGGCAATAAACTTCAAATGAACTAAACGAGAGGTTTTAACAGTTTATTAATTCAAGCGTAAAGTTAGTTTTGTGGAAAAAAAATTCTGAGATTTCTAATTTCTCGTTCGTTTTTTACTGTTTTAATCATCTTTCTAATTTTCTCTTAAAATAATAAATACTAATTATCATCTATATGCAAGATGAATGATTTTTTGCTATGGAATTTAAGACGCATTTAGGACTCGTCAGATGAATGTACTCAAACCCAGTAAGGTTCGCTTCAAACGTCATTGCGTTATCCATTTAGCTTCTGAGTCCAGATAGCCACCAACATATGCAATAGGATGAAGTGGAGTTCATTTAGTATTGGTTGTTTAAATCTTACCATTGATATTCAAGACTTTATTTGACCATGTCTGTCCAAAAATGCTTGTGAAATAATGGCTTTATCGAAACAAACCACACAAAATGTACATTTATTAAAATTAGACTGATCAATTGCAATCCTAAAAATCAATTGAAGGATTCAAGTAATCAATACAAGATGAACGAATCCTATAAATTAATAGTGGCTTTCCATATCACGGAAATCTTGACTAAGTATTTGTTCAACAAGTATTAAGCTCCTAATCTTAGTGTACGTAGTTTAATGAATAATGAATCTATATTTTGCTTATATATGCATAACTTGTTCAGTCACTATACAAACTGAAATCATAAACTCATTTTTGTATTAGTTATTTGAATCTTCTCACTGATGTTAAGGACTGCAATTGATCAGTTACTTATTAGCATATGTGCAAGCTGTGAGGATTGCCTCGATATTGCCTGAAGTCCCAAGCATTATAAGTGGAGATAGATGGTGACTAGCAGGAGAATCCAGGACGAGTGTTTCATCCTATTTGGGACTGGTCATCTGGGTGTACCCGAATCCTAAAGTAGACGTTTACATTGAGACTTGAACTTAGCACCGTTCGCTTCAAACGCCATCACGTTATCCACTTAGCGATTGGACCCAGCTGACGCGTTTCAAATAGGACAAAACACGTGTTCTGGATTCCACTGTAAGCCGCTACCATCTCACCTTATAATGAGATTATAAACGTTTTAAAAAACAATATATGACTAATTGTCAATCTTATTCCATCCGATAACAGTTTCTCTTATACTTAATGAAACACTTATCCATTTTCGCCTATCACTGATCACAGGATCCATGAAAATTGTGACAAAATTTGGTGTTAAGTTGACTAGTCGTTTTGTTTTCTGACTTCATCGTCTTTTGAAGAGAAAATAAGCCGAAACTACAGACTATTAAGCGTTTACTAAAAGAATTGTTAGTAATAAACTTATTGACATCCACTTCTGAGGTTGTCAACCAGAAATTTCTGTCCACGTCTATCTTGAGCTATTCTTTCCAGTTGTTTCAGATAGTAATTCATTCTTTCGATGTCTGACTTCAATTATATATCAGTGTACAGAATCGTTATGAGTTAGATTCTTATCACATTTTGTTCTAATAAATAAGTAATACTTTTTTGCATAAACGAAAGTTCAGACACAAAAATGGCATACTTTACATCATTTTAAATGATGTAGATTTATTGAGCATATGAGCATTGTTGACCACGCGTGACGAAATGGAGCAAGATATTGTTTTTATTAAGTTTTTTTCAGATGAGATTGGAAGACACTCAGTTAGGCTGCCTGATGTAGCATTTTTTCAAAAGACTACCTAAATTAGTTGATACACATTGAAGTTGTAAAATCAGGTAACTTATTGTTTTTGTATCTAGACACAACTGAATGACTAAGAACTGTTGATTAGCTATCTAAACTCTTTTACTAACTGTCCCCTTTTATATATCAAAGATAACAAATTCATTTATGTTATGTTTTCAATCCCTACAGTTCGGATTGTATCGTAAACTGAATAATTTCAACATTGATTCAAACAACAGTCCTATTCAATCTGGTAGTCAAATTTCAGAGAATGATGATAATTCTAATGTAAGTAACAGATTAAAAAAAGATAATAACGAATACTATGATGATAATGATAATGATGATAGCGGTGATATTCAACATGATGAATCATTCCGTAATATAGATTTGGAACATGAAGAAGAAGAAGAAGAAGAAGATAATAGTACTATTCAAAATGATGAATTCTACACAAATCCTAAAATTAAAGAACTTGGCAAAGAATTCACATTAAAAGATATTTTAGGTCATCGTGTACCAGAACTAGAAATTGACATTATAAAAGATGATGAAGAGATGGGACAGAATGAATAAAAAAGAAAATTAATCCACGCACCCACCTACCTATGCACACGCACACACACAGTCATCAAATAAATAGTATGACATTATCCAAAATGAAAAATGCATTTCCATAGAAAAAACAAACAAACATTTTAAACCCCATTTAAACTATTTATTTCTAAAGTCAACGCATTTACATTGTTGAATTTTGTTGTTCACTGTTTTCTTTTCTTTTTTTTCTTCATTTAACATGTACATTCACAAACTCATAATTCCTCTTCGATGATAAATTTTTCATAGAGGTCCAACCTTTATCATTTAAAAATACCACAGACAGAAAGAGAGAGAGAGGGAGGGAGGGAGGGAGGGAAAAGAAAGAAAGAAAGAAAAATTATCATCATTGAAATAAATGGAATAGTTTTCCGTCCGTTTTTCTTTCTTTCTTTCATGCTCATTATTGTTGTGTTTTTTGGTATTTTGTTTTCTCTTCTTTTCTTTTCCTCTCTGTTTTTCTCTTTCTTTTTACTTTTATTTAATAAATAAGCAAAGCAGAACTTTGTTTCCATATGAGTTTTTTTTTAGTATTTAACTAAAGAAATATGATTGTTAGGATAAGTTTATTTGAACATTTTGTAAATGGAATGTAGTCATTAAAACAAAACAAAACTTTATTATCATTAAAAGGGAATGTTTCATTTAGTTAAGTATTTGTATTTTAGTTTGTATACATAATTTGAAGAAAAAAAATAAACTTTTTGACTTGTACAAACCATCTCATATTGTCTTGTATTCCTATACATTTTTTGTTGTTGTTGTTGGTGGCGGTGGTGGTGGTGATAATATTCCTGAAGTTCTAATGAGAAGCCATAACCAGTGGGAATGTGAGATAGTTATCTACTTCAAGCAATAGATGAAGAGTTGCTCAGGTTTAGTGGTCTAAAGGTTAAACTTCAATCATGAGACTGAAGGTTCTGGACTCGATTCTTGTGTGCAGGATCGTGGATGTACACTGTTGAGGAGTCATATACTAGGATAAAGGGCGGCCTGCTTGAGCATTTGGGCTACCTATTCCTGCTATCTAGATATTTCAACAAGTTATCTATTTTCGTTTGTTTTAATATATCATTATGTTTATTAATCGCATAACCTATCCTGATGCGTTTCTGAAAAGTGTACAAAAAAGTTACAAAAGTTACAAAAAACTCAATGAGAGACAATGTGGTTGCTGGCAATGTACAATGAAAAGAATGCACATTATTCAGATGTTTATCTACTGAACATCTAACTGCCGATCACTCAATATTTATCGCCAGGACCGACCAAGAAGAAAGAAACGGAAACTTGTTGAAATACTTTGCGCTCAGAATTCTATAGTGCCAAAAATATAATATCGAATAAAGCTGATGATAATAATAATAATAATGAAACGGTTGTCCATTACTTCTGAGTTTTTAAATGGTGGCCTAGCATAAATCGACTCATGAATCTAACTGTGAAAATACTTTGCGTTTTATAGTCAGGCGTTGTGTTAAAAGATCTTCACTAAAGAAATTTTGAATAGTTATTTGATTATAATCTCATTTAAACCCTGCCCTGAGAGTTAGAAGGTCTTCATTTAGAAGATTTATGACACCTCATGATGAAAGCCGAGTTCCTTCAGAAGTCACGAGGCTGATGCCCCTTCTGACATCCAGAGCAACCATTTATTTAGGTACATGGAATACTGGCACAATGTGGGAGACTGAGAGAGTCTTTCAAATTGCTGCTGCGTTCATGTTATCTCGTATGTCTATTTCAAACAACTAACGGATAGTCTATTTAGAGGGATGTTTCGAAAATGCTTAAGAAATGTTTGGTAAATTTTAGTTTGAATTAGTTTGAAATACTCAAAATATGACTTTCTTATAAAATCAAAAAGTTATGTGTTATTCCACGTAGATAGTCTACTGTTGATTTACTTTCATAATAATCTACAACCAGTTTGATACGTACTGCTACTTCCTTATGTTTTCTTTTTAAGTTTTTTTGTTGTTGGATTTCTGCAGCAGACTCTTTTATTCTCAATCTATTCAGACTCTTTCTCTTTTTCAGAGCATCAATAAGTTTCAATATATTTGCATGGAGAGTGCCAATAAGTTGAGTAATACCTCTATGCAGTGTTATGTACTACTGATGTTGACAGATGTAAGTAATATGTACCATCAATCGAAAGTGAAATGCCTGGCGGCAAAAGGTTTAGAAGATCTACGAAAAGAGAATAGGAACAGAGAATGATTGATGTGGAAACGAAGGAATAATCAAGTCCAAGACAATTGATTGACATTTTGCAAATGAAGCATTTACTGTTTGTTTCTTATATAACTTACTAATTGTTTCTGTAGTTATGTGTTGAAATACATTTTCTGTTTTAGTTGTCCTCGCCAATGTTCTCGTTTATTACAATATCACCTTTCTACAACATTGTTCTTTTTAGGAAGATCTTCCGAAATAGAGAGTAAAATGAACATATTTCATCCCTTTCGATACTCAATCATCTTTTTCAATATTCGCCGTTTCCTTTTTTTCATGCTCACCCTTTTAATCGCCACCCTTTTGGATGGATATCAAATTTTGTATCGATTTTTAATAACATTAAATAAATGAATATTTAATTAAAACCTATTAATCAATACTTTTTATTACTTATAAGTTATTCAATTAAAGGTTATTAGTTATTAATGACATGATGTAGGTAATTTCAACAATTTGATTGATTACTGAATATGGTGACTAATAATAATAATAATAATAATAATAATAATAATAATAATAATAATAATAATAATAATAATAATAAAATATCACAGGTTGAAATTATGAGTCAATTGAAGCTAGACAGCCATGGAAAACCTAGAAGCACTGGACGGCCGTTTCGTCCTGGTATGGGACTCCTCAGCAGTGCGCATCCACGATCCTGAACCCCGCGGGATTCGACTCCAGGGCCTACTGATTTCTCGCGTGAGCACTTCACCAATAGATCACTGAGCCGGCATCCAACGGTGTTAATGCCTAACCTCAACCAATCCACGAAGTTGCGTTACCGTACACCATTGTCTTCAGTGAGTTCCTATCTCGCAACAGGCCTGGTCTACTGGTTAAGTGCTCGCGCGAGAAATCAGTAGGTCCTGGGTTCAAATCCCGTGGGGTGCGGGATCGTGGATGTGCACTGCTGAGGAGTCCCATACCAGGACGAAACGGCCGTTCAGTGCTTCTAGGTTTTCCATGGTGGTCTAGCTTCAATTGACTCTGATTTCAACCTGTGAAATTTCTAAAATCTCCACAAAACCCATTCTGATAATAATAATAATAATAATAATAATAATAATAATAATATAGGCAGTATTACATTTATTGTTTGTAATCTTCAACATAGTTCTCCATAATATAACATATTCATATGTTTTCAGTATTTGATGTCAGATGCCTTCGAAATAATGTTTAACATAATTTGGGATGATTCATTGACTAATGGAGAGATAAAGCCAATAAGCATAAATCCGAGTTTCAGATATTTAGACAAGTGAATTTGAACCGAGAATCATCAAACATACTCTGACGAGTCGGATTACTGAATCACACAATCGTTTTCGGTAGTCTTTCAGGTTTTATGTGTCTACTAAAAGCAGTCTAACTTTGATTATATCAAATTGTTCAACTAATACACAGTCAAATCAATCAACTTATAACTGAACATTTCAATGAAGCAATTGGAACTGTTCATTAATAACAGGAACTCTTTAAGGCCTGAAGATTCTTATACATTCTCATTAATTTCAATGTATATATAATTTTATACTTATGTTTTTACCAGATAAAGTTGTAATGATTTTGCTAGATATGTTTTGTAAAGGTCGTCTCACTTTTAGCCTTTGACATACTTATTCACTGCTGTTACTCCTCGTGGAGGAGCATAGACCGCTCATCAGCATTCTCCGTCCACCTCTGTCCTAGAAATTCCTTTTTTAGTTATTATTCAACCTTTTAAAGTCTGCAACCAAATTTTGGCACAGTGTGTACTTTGGCCTTCGTGTTTTCCGTTTCCCTTCATGATTCGAAGTTAGTGCTTTCTTCGTGATGCAGTTTGATGATTTCCTCAATGTGTGTCCTATGCACTTCCAACGTCTTTATTTCACTTCCTTCTCATCTGCGACCTCATTTGTTCTTTCTCATGGTAGGCTTTTGCTGATGGCACCTGACCAACGGACATTCAGTATCTTACGTAGAAAATGGTCTATAAATACTCCTACCTCCTTGATCAATATATACATATCGAGTCACTCACACACACTGAACAAAGTGCTTAGAATGATGGTCAAAGCAAATCGAGAATATGGGAACGAGGTAATACAAGTGTTTCCTATCAATTTCTAGTCATTTATTTACCCGAAAAATTCCTTCGAAATGAAATCAAACACAAGATCTTCAGATGATTTTTCCAAATGTATGAATTCCGACGATATATTTTGACATTTTATCATTCATATTTTCCTAAATGTTTAATGTGATCGAACTCATCATGTGTTTGTCGATGAATTTCCTAGGATACCATTCATACTTAGTAAGTTCCGAATATTAACCAATTCATCTTCAATGGTGTCTTCCGAGCAAATCATTCTGGCACGATGAGTCAAGATCTTTATCAAGTTCCTTTTGTATCTGATTGGAACTGCACTATTGAAATGAGTGTAATGTCCTGTTGCTGACTTTCTGTGTACCCCTCTTTTAAAGTTCCGTCTGCTCTTCTAGTTAGTTAGACATCTAGAAATGATATGCTATTGTTCTGTTCATCTTTTGATGTAAAATTAATTGATGGATGAACGTTATTAAATATATTAAGTAAATTGTCCTTATCATTTTCTTTTTCTGATGCTATGAAAGTATCGTCTATGTAGCGATAATAAGTTGGTAAATGGCTAATTATGCTTTTAAGTGGTTCATTTTCCAGTTTCTCTAGGAAAATATCAGCCAGTAGAGGGCCCAATGGTGATCCCATGGCAAATCCATCTAGTTGTCTATAGTACTCGTTGTCAAATCTGAATTAGACATTCATTGTGCATCCAAGAATTAACTGTTTATCACGGATGCGGGACTTGGAGTTTCTATGCACCTCACTGTTAGTTCATCGCAAATAAAATCAACCGTTTCAAGTAGTGGAATGTTAGTGAATAAGGATGATACATCAAGTGATATCATGAAATTATTCTTGACTGATAGATTTTTTATGTTCTCAACAAATTCAAAGGCATCCTTGACACTATGCTTGACAATTTCTTTGTGCAATGCTTTAAGAATTTGCACCAACCATTTTGCTATA